ATATTGGCTTTTGGCAAACATAAAAATAGGGTTTATATGTGTAGTGTTAAAATAACTTTTTTATAAAAATATAGCTTTTTATTTCTGTTGTTAATTAAGCTTAGTGAAATAGCTGATATTAAGTCTGCTTGTTTTAAAATGCCTGCTTGGATGGGATAACATCCAAAAAAACATATGAAAAAGACACCTACTACAGCTATACCAGCACTCACCTTCTGAAGACAGTGTAGACCAAAACCCAAAAATAAAAATAACTAAATAAATAAAAAAATAAAATAATAAAAAATAAAAATAAACTAAAACCACAACCAAAAAAAGGCAAATCCAAAGAACCATGCTAAACAGTTCTTAGAACATAGAAACTAGTTGAAAGAAAAAGTTTGCTATACATAATTGTTTATGAATATGCAACAAGCTGGTGTAATAGAAAAGGTATTTAAGGGGTATCCCCAAAAATCAGTGTGCTCTTGGCTGAGTGCCGAGATGCACCCTGACATAACAACCTTTACTCCACAATCTTTATCTCCTATTGTTCTTTGTTGAACTTTTTAAATTTTCACAGGAAACTGAACGTGTTTTTCACCTGCTGGGTCTGCAGAGGGCAGAAGAAGGGTCTGCTCCTGGCTCTGCTCCTTACCTGGGGAAATCCCACAATGGACAGAGACAAAAATTGAGAGGAATAGCAGATTTGTCTTTACAAACAAGCTGTGGGTCTGCTGGTAGATAAAACTAGCACTGGGAGATAAAAGAAACAATGGGAAGGATTCCACTGATTGATGGATGGAAAAAGATATCTGCTTTTATAAATAAATGTTAGGTTTGCTGATGAATGAAATTAAACATTGAAAGTTGACAGAAACAATGGGGAAGAAAAACACCGAAATTCTGTAAGAATTAAAAAATTAAAAGGGAAGGTTATACATTAGAGGGAAATTTTTGGTATCAGGCGTATCGGGAATTTTTTACCTTTCAAGTACCTCAGCCAATGGAGAAAGAGAGAGGGAAATGTGGGAAATTAGGATTAAAAGGGAGGCTGCTACCTCCAAAAATTTGAGAGACCCCAGGGGAGTGCCCCATGGCCTCTCCCTTTATTGGAATAAAGCCAAAGGAGTCCTCTGTCTCCTTTCTAGACATAAACTTCTGATGTTTGTGGATTAATTTTCCTACCAAAATCAAGGCTAAATCTCTGCCTCCTTACGGGAGCGCTCCTCACAAGAACCCACCTCCGTCATGCCGTTTTCCCCATCCATTTCTCAGTGCTTGACCGCAGAAATGTTGACTTTCTGAAGGTTAAAGGTGGCAGCCTCAGGCACCAAACGGGGCCGGGCAGGAGGAGCTGGTTGTTGTTGTTTCAGGAGAAAAGTGTCAGGAAGATGCAGCGGCCCCGGCCCCCGCTGAGGCGCCGAGTGACAGCGGCAGCTGCCGGCGTGAGGGAGCCCCGCGGGGCCCGGGCGTTCCCAGGCCGGGAAAGGCCACGACATCTCCTGTTCCCACATCTGGGGCTCAGGAATAACAGCGACATCTCCTCTTCCCACATCTGGTGTTAAAAAAAAGGGACCAGACTCCCGGTACTGAAGTGATTTCAGCATTTCAGGGAACAGCCTCTCCTCCCAGGCACCAGGGACACAGCCACTGGTGTTAAAAATGGAACCAGACTCCTGGTACTGAAGAGATTTCAGCATTTCAGGGAACAGCCTCTCCTCCCAGGCACCAGGGACAGGAGAACAGGACACAGCCACTGGTGTTAAAAATGGAACCAGACTCCAGTACTAAAGTGATTTCAGCATTTCAGGGAACAGCCTCTCCTCCCAGGCACCAGGGACAGGAGAACAGGACACAGCCACTGGTGTTAAAAATGGGACCAGACTCCTGGTACTGAAGAGATTTCAGCATTTCAGGGAACAGCCTCTCCTCTGAGGTACCAGGGACAGGAGAACAGGACACAGCCTTAAGCTGCACCCAGGGAGGTCTAGGCTGGGCAGGAGGGAGAAATTCCTCCCAGAAAGAAGCCATCTCCTGTTCCCACATCTGGTGTTAAAAACGGGACCAGACTCCCGGTACTAAAGTGATTTCAGCATTTATTGTAATAAAAAGAGAGGCCTAAAGCCAGGGGGCCCGCAGGCCGAGCAGGAGCGATCCCGTCGAGGATGCTGCAGCGCCAGCTCTGGGTCTGCTTCAGCAGCGATGTCCCCGATGTTCCAGGTGGAGCAGCACAGCTTCCCTGGGTCAGAAGCCCCTTTTTATACTGTTTTTTGTCCCTTTGGATTGGTTTCTTTTTGGATCCTTCATGCAAATCCAGTTTTAGGTGCTTGATTGGCCCATTACAATTCTGTCCAGGCTGGCGCATTTTGCTCGGGGAGTGGTGCACTTTACTTAGGTGTAATTTCTTATAACCACCCTTTTAACCCCTTTTACAATATCACAACCAAACTAACAGTACATGCTTAACAATTATCAACTATTTTACAACAGTTTCTAAGCTATTTTTAACATCTGGGGCTGCAGGAATAACAGCAAGAGAGCTCCATGAGGAGATCAGGGCCCGAGCGGTTTAACGGGACAGGAGATGATGTGGGGATCCAGTCAGGCCTGCTCAGAGGCCTAAAGCTGACCCTGACCCAAGTGGGGTTGGGACTAAGGGACAATTCTCCTTTCTTCTCTCCCTGCAAGGATGAATGTTTGCTAATTAGAGAGATCTTTTTGTAGATTGAAGGCAGAACTGAAAAGAGACTTAGTCTGAATTCATGCAAACCACAAGTAACCTATGTAAGTGAAGTGTAAGTAACCCATGGAAGTGAAGTGTAAGTAACCCATGGAAGTGAAGTGTAAGTAACCCATGGAAGTGAAGTGTAAGAAACCCATGGAAGTGAAGTGTAAGAAACCCATGGAAGTGAAGTGTAAGGAACCCATGGAAGTGAAGTGTAAGAAACCCATGGAAGTGAAGTGTAAGAAACCCATGGAAGTGAAGTGTAAGAAACCCATGGAAGTGAAGTGTAAGAAACCCATGGAAGTGAAAATTGCAGAGATCTTTTTGTAGACTGAAGGCAGGACTGAAAAGAGACTTAGTATGAATTCATGCAAACCACAAGTAACCCATGTAAGTTAAATGTAAGCAACCCATGTAAGTAAAGTGCAAGTAACCCATCTAAGTGCTAATTAGAGAGATCTTTTTGTAGACTAAAGACAGGACTGAAAAACAGATTTAGTCTGAATTCATGCAGACCACTAGTAACCCATATAAGTGAACACATACACACACAGACAGAATATAAATTAAATATTCCACACTGGCAAAACGTCCTGGACTCTGACTTAGATCCTGCCAGTGCCTGAAACACTTGCAGCATTCACAAATTCATCATAACCTGACTTTTCAAAAAAAGAGCAATCCAGGGGTCTTCCTCCTGCCTGAGAGTATGAAGTTATTTTAAATGGTTACTATTTAATGCAACAGATTTAAGTATTTAGGTGAGTTCTTCCTAGAGAATGAATTAGCTATCAGATATTGAGTATTTTGCATGAAAATTTAAATTCCTGTGATAGAAAGGGATTTGATGTTCTTGTTTAGAAGGATTTAATCTAAAATAATTTGATTTCCTGGAAAAGGCCAAGTTCTAAAAACCAACAGACACAACAGGATAAACACATTCCCCACCTCATCCAGATTCCATGAAATTTCACATTTCTGAACTTTACAAAAACCAAAATAACTTCAGTATCACTTCAGCTCCTGTGGAAAATGAAGACCTCGTGTCTGTTAAATCTCTGTGCTCCTGAGACAAGCAGTGGTGGGAGAAGGGAAAGAGGCACCCACAACGTGGAGCAAGGCCTGGGGGAGTATTTGAAATGGTTGCAAGCAGGTTCTGGAAACATGGGACACATGCACACCTAAATTGTCATTAAAAATATGGAGAACAACCTGGGGAGGAGTTGCAGTAACCCTGGCATAGCAGGGTTTGGGGCATTCTCAGCTGCCACACTTCTGGGAAAAAGGGATTGAGAACAGATTCCCTGTTCATGTCTTTTCAGCTGGGATGGCTCTAGACTCTAAAAAAAATCTGCTTTCTGTTAGGAAAAACTATAAAATGTTCAGCAAAAGATGAAAAACACGTCTTTCATTGGCATAAAATAAGGAGATTTCCTTGCAGGAGGGTGTATTGAAAATTCCCTAGAAAGTAGAATACAGAAAGAATAACTGCCACTGGCAGCAAACTCCAACCCTCAGCAAATACATGTGTTACAAATCTAACAAAACAAACAAACATCACTCAAAAACTTGCATGTGTGTACAAGCCAGGTTTAATAATTTTTTTAACCTCAGGATTTGGCCTTAAATTATGTATAATTAGTGAAGTCTTTTCTTACTTCTATTTCCCACTTTAGTTCTTGAAATTTGGTGTCTATTGCATCCTGTTTTAGGGCTTTTTCTAAACCCAAGAAGGATAATTTTGTTAACAGTGCAATAAAAATAACTTCATAGTGTTACAAGGAAACATTAAAGACTTTTTTTTTTTTTTTTTTTGGTGTGCTGCTCTTTCCCTTAAAAAAAAAAAATACAGACATTGTTTCTTTAAAAGGCTCCATCTGCAAATCCCATTAGATGTGCATATAAGGTTTCAGATGATTAATAGCTGCCTGCTTTGCTTTGGTTGGAGGGGCTGAGGGGATGTGTGTTAACCCCTCCCTCCCCTCGCTCACATTTCACTTCACAAACTTGTCACTGTCTCCCCAGCACAGTATTTAAAAAGTGTTTCACTCATGCCCAGCCCTTCACAAGGAAGCAGCTCATGGCAATCCCTGCCTAAATCTGCTTGGCAATGACGACCTTTAGAACCAGAGCTCCTAAAGCAGCAAACCTTCAGCAGCATCAAACCCGCGAGCAAACTGTTGTTTAGGGAGGAGACCTACTCTGTCAAATTTGGAAGAGCTTCCCTCTGCTTCTCTTCTGCTTCTGGAGGCTGAGCTGTCAGCAGGCAGGAGCCCTGAGGCGTGGGCAGGACTGGAAGCAGATGGATCCCAGCAGCAGCAGCTGCATGCGCAGCCCACAGCCTCCCTCCCTGCTCTGGGGCTGTGTGAGGAGCTCCCACAGCGACCTGAGCGCAGCTCCAGGGCTCAGCCACTATCCAGCAGCACCATTCTCCTTCCAGCAAAAAGCAGATTTTGCTGCTTACTCTGATTTCTCAGCCTCCTGCCTGGTGCCAGCTCCTCACAGCTTCCCGCAGGAGCAGCACCCCTCATTCCAGCACCCTGAGTGGCACCTGGCAGCACCTGAGGCCACTAGAGGAGCAAACCCAGGGCTGGCCTTGGCTTCTGGAGAGTCAGAGGGCAGCAGCACCAGCCTAGTGAGTGTGGCTGTGGATGAAGATGATGAGGCACCAGCAAATCCTACAAGTGACTCTGAGAAAAAGCCATCCAGAAGGAAAAAGGAAAGCTCAGGTAGGTGATGTGAAATCAGGGTTGTGGGAGAGTGCAGGAGATGGAATGAGAACACCTGGTGGGACTGGGACTTAAGAAAGAAAGCTGCTGAGCAAGACATTTCATAATATTTCCTGGGGAAACTTTAGACAATGACAGCACTGTAACTGTCTGATTCTTGTTCTGGTCTTTGTATTTCACTCCTGCAGATCTTGGGTACTGAGCTAGGCATTTTACTCACCAGCACAATGCACATTTGCTGTGAGTGAGCAGGAATCACATGGCATGTACACACAGGACTGGAAGTCCTAGGATGTGGAGTTACACCTTCACACCTGCCATGGGTCTGAGCAAAAGAGAATGGCAGAGAGCAAAGATCCCTCACCTTGAGCTGCCTGTGGTAGTAGGGAATGTCATACTGGGGATTTGAATGTCATACTGGGGATTTGACATCTCAGTTTATGGTAAGAAGTACAAGAGGCAAAGTCTTCCTTTAAACATAAATTCTATTCGGTCTCACTAAATGTTAAATATTTTAACCTCAGAACAGGAGGTTCTAAAAGTTTGCCCATGAGTACAATGTGCAAAAGTGCAGAAAAGTTCATAGTTTTCATGGTGTCATCCTAGCTAGCAAAACACATTCTTTGTAGTGTAAAAATCAATAATTCCATAGTTATACAAACTCTAAGTTACTGATATCTCAGATCCAAATCAGTGAAATATGAATAAAATTGTTTTTTCTTAGGAAGTTGTTAAAATTTAAGGTGCTTCTATGCATTCAAATGCCATAGTTATTCACTTACAAGCTACAATGTGCTTTTTCCCACAGCCCTGCTACCACGTGGAGAATATTTTCCAGTAGCTTCATTTCACAGGCAGAGAATGCAGAGATAAAAATATTAATGGCTTGATATCTAGGTTTTGTGGACATCCATAGAATTTAAGTTCATTTATACTGAAAAAGTATGTTTAGGCAAAATTTTCCCAAATACAAAGAAGTCTAAAAAAATAATTTAAAAGGTAAACAACACTTTCATTAAAACATCAGCTAGTCATAGGTAAACAGCAGATTTCACATTAGAGATATCTCATATTAGAGAGATGTCTTTATCCTTAAAGAGACTGATTCCAAAGCACATCTCCCTGTTTTAAATAGAAGAAGAAAGTTCCTTTATTCTCTCTTACTAGCACTGTTCACACTTTATTTTCATCCTTGCTGCTGTCCCCTACTCTCTTCCTTTCAGGGAGCTGTAAGCAATGACATCCCTGAGAGGTCTGGGCTTCCTCCTTCTGGTGACCACTGCATCCCTGGGGAGAGGAGTTGCTAAATTCAACCCAGCACTGGAGCTGCTTGGGATCCTGGAAGGAGACACACTCCTTGGGAGAGACACATATTTTCCTTTTCCTATCCTGACTTTCCTTTCCTGAATTTCCTCTCCTTTCCTCTTTTTCAGCTGGCTGTACAGTAGAAAAAACCTACCCAAGATGATTTGTCCTTTCACACATTTATCACGTTCTGTTGTCAAAACTGAAGCAGCTGGGCTGCATTTCCACCTCTGGAATCTCACAGAACCTCAAGCCATGGATAAGGATTTTCTCTTGACAATACCCTGTGGCACACATTGGGGATGAGAGATTCCAAGCTACACACCCTGCTCTGCTCCCAGAAATATCCAAATATTCATTTTAAATTATTCCCACTGTGAAAACTGCCCTTTGGAAAGGGAGTCCTTCCCACAGGGCTGTGATGAGCTCTCAGGTACTTTGCATTTGCTACTTGTTTATAATTTCTGCCATGTGCTGAAGGCTTTGGAGAGTTGCTGCACCCTCCACGTGTCTCACACACCCCAGGGGAAGCCCTCGAGTCCAAGGCTCCCAGGAGCTGGTGGCAAAATTCCAGTCAAGAAATCCACACTTCAACTTTGTAATATACAGGGAGTCCCCAACACAGGAAATTATTGGTATTTTATTTTATTGATTCAGAAGGTTGAATAATTGCTTTATTAAAATGATATTATATTACATTAATCGTATATTATAACTATACTAAAGAGATACTATACTATATTATATAAAAGATACATACTAATATAAATATAAAAGATACATACTAAAGAACTAAAGATACTAAATATAAATATAAAATATATATATTAATTATACTATAATATAAAAAGATACATACTAAAGAAAAACCTGTGTCTGTCTCTAGACAGCTAGGACACAGCTTTGACCCAACAGGCCAATTAATATAAACTATTATTACTAGAATTTAATTAAGAACTCCCTTCAGGTAAACAATCTTCTTAATACATTCTACATGTGCAAAACAACAGAAGCACAGAAAAGAGATAAGAATTGTTTTCTCTTCTTCTCTCTGTGCTTCTCCAGGAAAAACCTGTGAGAGAGAATTATGTCTCTCTCTGTTCAGAGAATGTGAATTCCCTGCTTCCCCACTGCTCCCTCAAAGTCACACTTTGAAATGTGATAGTGTGTCTGCAGTAACAAAGGGGATTGTTAAACTGTGGGCAAAAACATGGGCAGAAACTTGTGGAGTTTTGTTCCTGCACATTTTCATTGCAGATTTTCTATCAATAGCTGAAACTATTTTAATAGTATTAATCTCACTACTATGCAGTGACAGGAATATAGTAATAGTAAGTTTACATCTGTAGAAAGCTTTGGCTTTGTTTCACCTTGGAAAGGTTGAGAAAGCACAAGTTTTTCTGCTAAATTAAAATGGCTTATCTTGGCAGACAGAAATCCTAGATCCTGACAGGAAAAAGAAAGTGGGACAGGTTGATGGCTAGGCACTTTTTACAGAATCCATGTGAGAGGACAGGATTTTGTTTAATCAGAGCCCATCCCATTACTAACCTTGGGTTAGTGAGACTAATTATGGATTTCTGAAGTAGCAAAAGCAGCATGGAACAAACCAGCCAAATTCCCTTGGAGTGGAAAGCAGTTCCAGCTGCAGCCTGTGACACACTGGTCCCTTGTGCATCACCAAACCTGTGTTTGATGTTTCCCTTTCTGATGGGCACAGATAAGGTCAATCAGTCACAAAGCCCACAGCCACACCTCACAGATTTCTCCATTTTTACTACTTTGGCCATGAAAATGACACCTAGAAGATGAAGCTGCACATTGTGCTCATGTTGTTAGCATTTTGCTTAAAATTTCTGTGTAGAAATATTTTTCTAGGACACACAGAACTGCATTGTGTACTGGTTACACACAAAAATTAAGTAACTAATTCTCAGCATAACAAAAATATTACTACCATGTTTTAGTTAGGGAGTCTAGCAAGAGGGGAGAAAGAGTCAAGGAGCTCACAAAACTGCCTCCCTGAAACACTGGCAGTTTGGACTTTGCTCACTAAAAGAAATGCATTTTTCCTTGCATTGCTTGGAGATTCTTTGAGCACCAATTTTAAAAACACAGGAGAAAAGAAAACAAAATAAAAAGAAGAAGAAGAAAAATGAGAAAGTATTTAAAAAATGAAAAAGGGTTGCCACAGTCTCAGGCAAAGTCAGTTTGTGTTTGCTTATTATCATAATGAGTACAGTATCACTTTGGCTATGGCTTGAAATTTGGCTTTGAAATACAACTCTTGACTACAGTGCAGAAATGTACAGGAATAACAAACAGGTATTTCAGGACAGCACAATGACAAGGATGATACGGAGGCCAGTCATATACACAGACACCAGCTCTGCTTGTAGTTTTCATTTAGCAAGGATTAGAAAAAGTTAAAAAACAGAGTGTTCAAGGTGGGTCTGGGCAAAAAAACCCTGTTTCTCTGCTTTTTCTTGTTTTATTGCATCCCCAGTATTTGCAGGCCATGCTCCACAGCTGAGGGTGCTCACTGAGTGGTTTGTTCTCATGTCCTGCCCCAAAGCTGAGCACCCTACACTCCTCACATCCTGCATGCACTTGGCTGCCTGCTGCATGGTAGATCAGGGGAGGGTGAATAAAAGTAAAAACGTGGGGAAGGAAACTTTCAGTGGCAGCAAAGATTGAGAGCTTCTTTCCCACAGCTCCTGTGCAGACCCAGGCAATTCTGACACCACTGCTCACCCTGACTGAGCTGTTATCATAGCAGTGAGCCTCTGAAAGGGGGATAATTAGTATTAATTCTATGATTGTAGAAGGCTAATTAATTGCTTTATTATACTATACTATTAAGTAAAACTCATCACCCTTACCAGTCATGACACACATGTGGATCTAATTAGTTAATGAATCTAAAACACTATCACTAGAGTCTAATTAAAAAATCATCGTTTGGTAAACAAATCTCCATAACACATTCCACATGTGCACACCATCACTCTTACCAGACAGTCATGACACACATGTGGATCTAATTAGTTAATGAATCTAAAACACTATCACTAGAGTCTAATTAAAAAATCATCGTTTGGTAAACAAATCTCCATAACACATTCCACATGTGCACAACAACAGGTGCAGCAAGTGGAGATAAGAATTGTTTCTCATTCTTTTCTCTGAGCTTTCTCACAGCTTCTCAGGAAAATACTGGGAGAGAATTACGTCTCTCTCTGTTCAGAGGAGATGTGATTACCACAGGCTGTCCCACCTCTGTCCTCTTAGAACCAAGGCTGGCAGCACCACTCAGCCATGCTGAGCTCAAGGGAGCATAAAGAAACATCTTAAAGCTTCCACTGAGACTTCAAGGAGTCATTTAGATCTCTGCAACTCACCCACATCAGCATAACCTCAAATCACATCAGTGTGTTTGCCTCTTAGAGAACCAGAACTCGAGCAATAAGGCAGAAACAGGGGTTTCTGAAGGGCAGAAACTGGTGGGGCAGCCTCACCTCGAGTTCTGGGGGCACTTCTGGGTACCACAATGGAAGAGAGATGTAAAGCTCTTAGAGAGCATCCAGAGGAGCACTGTGAGGATGGTGAAGGGTCTAGAGGGGAAGTCATATGAGGAATGGCTGAGATCAGCTGTCTTGTTCAGTCTGGAGGAGACCAGGAGGGGACCTCATCACAGCCTAGAGTTTTCTCACAGGGCGAAGCAGATGGGCAGGCACTGATCTCTTCTCTGGTGACCAGTGACAGGACACAAAGAAATGGCCTGAATTTCTGTCAGGAGAGGTTTAGATTGGATATTGTGAAAAGGTTCCCCAGGGAAGTGGTCATAGCACCAAGCCTAACAGAGTTCAAGAAGCATCTGGATAATGCTTTCAAGGCCCATGGTGTGTGTCTGGGGTTGTCCTGCACAGGGCCAGGAATTGGGCTTGATGGTCCAGGTGGATCCCTTCCAGCTCAGGGTGTTCTACGAGTCTGTGATTCTAAAGATTCACCCACATCAGCATACATCAAATCAACCAGTGTGCTTGCCCCTTAGAGAACCAGAGCTCCAGCAAGGCAGAAAGCAGCAGCAAGTCACGGAAGGAAAGGACAGCTTTCACCAAGGAGCAGCTGAGGGAGCTGGAAGCTGAATTTGCCCACCACAACTACTTGACAAGGCTGAGGAGATACGAGATAGCAGTGAACCTGGATCTCACCGAGAGACAAGTACTTCCCAAACCCTCCCCAGCTCCTCCTTCCTCCCCCACAACTTCTCCCTAATGCTAAAAACCAGATTATGTTACTCAAGGGTCTGCTTTTGCAATGGCACAGAGGTATTTTAAAACAAAGCCTCCACATTCTTTCCAACACCTTCATTACACGTTTCTGTAAGTAGTTAATTATTTAATTACGTTTCTCTCAACTAATGATAGACCTGGTAATAACTGGTCTCTGCTGAGTTCTTGTTTACCACCATTCATTGGTGCATGTTGATATATCAAGGTTTACATATGGAATATGGATATTACCTTAGACTTTGACTAACAGGAAATTATTGGAATTAATATTTGATACGTGCATTCTTCCTGGGTCAGGTGGTATTTTGAGGTGATAAGCAAAGACAATTATACAGAGTTTGTGGAGAGAGGTATTTCCATTCTCTCATTGTCATCTCAGTCCAGGTTTCCTTATCAAGGCTAAGTGGACAGCAGAAGAATTGTGTAGTTATGTGAGGCAAATTAAAATTCCTGAAGCATTAGATTGGATGGCCTAGATGTTAAAAATACATGAGAGGCACTGTGCCTTATTTGACATGAAGACAGATTCTAGGCAAAGCACTCGTACTACCTTTGAGGGTTTCAGAGGAACATCTGTGTGGAGCATTTTAGAGAGAATTGTTCCAGTCTGTGTTAGAGAGATGGATTAGTCAAACTCTGTTCACCTTTTCTTCTAGAATTCCACAAATTATCTGTCTACACACATATGCATAGCTCTGCTTATACAGCTCAGGTTGAGGCAACAAGTAATTATTTTCTCTCTATCACCCAGGTCAAAGTATGGTTTCAAAACAGAAGAATGAAGTGGAAACGAGTTAAAGGTGGGCAAGCAGTGCCCCCACACGAACATGACACAGAGGATGTGGACTCTGCTGCCTCCCCCAGCTCTGAGTAGTCCCTGCAGCAATGGGAGAGGAGTTTGGAGAAAGTCACTGATTGGAATGTGGGTGCAACTGCTTAGAATCAGCTCCACAATGAGACCATAGTCTTTAAAAGGTGATGATGCTTGAGGTTACAGAGGCAATTAAAGAGCACAGGGGGAAAAAAGCCAAAGGACAGCATGGTTTTGATTTGTGTCTCTCAAACTGTCTTACTACCACAGATGTGTCTACAGAAAAAAAACCAACAACAAACACTGACTATAAAACAGGAGTAATGTTGTGAGACTCTCAAATATCCAGAAAATCCAGTTTGTTAGTCAGCACACACAGCTCTGTTCTCATCCTGGCTTCCCCTGGTCACACCTAGTCAGCCTGCATTTGGAATTGACAATGCACATTTTCCTTGTGCCCTACTTGGAGAGAAATAAATACTTTGATAGTCACTGATTTTTCTTGCAAAATGAGTTGGACACCTGTATGAACAGACAATAAGATTACAAAATAAAATGTGAGACTAAAAATAGATATACACAGAAGTCTGCTCACCAGTTTTAGAAGAGGGGCTTTCCCACTGACAGTCCAAGAAGGTCAGTGCCTTGTTGAGGGCAGCAATTTGCAGAGGAAGATTTCTTCCAAGCTTACTGTAAATCCTGAAATTAAATTGCTAGATCTCAGTTTCAAATATTTTTTCAAAGCAGTCATTACCAAATGTCCCAGCAGGCACAGCAGAGATTGAACTCTCAACACAACAGCTAAAATATCACTGTTTTGGTTTCAAGTTTTCCAATAAACTGCCATAGCACCACCAGAAGTCTTAAGAACACTTAAGAACATTCCCACTTTAAATTATCCCCGCTTTCAACCAAAATTTATAGTGTATCAAATGATGATGATTTAGAAAAGCATAGTGCCTGCTCCCATTTCTTATATCTTTTCTTTCATCTACTAATACCATATTTTAAGCAGAATTTTACACTAGTGTACCACATTATGACCATTGAGAATACTGAAACTTTGGGTTAAATATTTCAAAGGTAACCATTATTTGCAGCTAAAGCCTTTCGCCTTACTCTGATGTTGTGGTTGCATGTGAACTGTAGATATGCTGGGTACAAATTTGTATATCTGGATTATATGTTTATAAAGCTGTTAGTGGTAATTCCACTTTTAAAAGACCTCAAAATTTATAAATATCCATTTTCTTAAAAAACAAGGATGCTGTATTCTTTTCAAAGAGCTGCTTACTGTATCTACTAAGAAAAAACACACATTACATTCCTGCTCAACCTTTCCAAGCTCTGATTGATGGATGAAAAAGATCAGCAGTTTAGAGTAAATATTTGTGCAAAACCAATTTAGAAGAATATTTTTTAAAAAGAAATTATTTTAAACTAAAGAAACTTGAGCAGTTTGAGCAGCACTGAGGAAGTGAATTAGGTTGGTGTCTGGTTTCTTCATACTGCACTACTTGCTCTTATCCACTTTATCCAAAAACAAGTTACATAAAACAAAATGCCAACTCTCCTGCCCCTGAAAAAAAGAAAATAAGAAAACAGCATCAGGGCTGTCTCACACAGGGCCTCATGTAAATTCTGTGAATATAATACCTACTATATAATCAGTTACAACATTTAGGGGTATGCGTGTTCTCTCTCTGAGCTAGACCTACCCCTGTCTCTTCAGATCTTTATGATAAGGAAAAAATTCCCTCAAATATCTTCCTTGTGGTAGATATTTAAATGGAAGGTGGCACAGACAGGGAGTTATGGTCAAATCCCAGATTTTCAGCACTGAGAAGGGTGGACAATGGCAGAACACCATTCTTTTGGTTAACAAACCCAGTGTTAGAAACAGGTCAATAATCTCACCATTCAGCTGACATAAAACTAGTTGGCTAGAAAAATTGCCCATGCACAGATGAGAAGAAGTTTACTGTATCTTTAAGAACACAAAATGTTTTTGGCTTTCCTTCTTGAACCTTGCTGCTTCTGATTAGACTTCTGACTAAACTCTTGGCAAAGACTAAAGCAAGCTGTATTTTGTGAAGAGCTCTGGTGCTCAGATCTCCTACCCTCTTCTCCTGGGACGCAAACCACCATGGAGCAGGAGTTCTTCTTTACTTCTATCCTTGTAACCTCTTCAACCATGTAACACTGTATATCTGTGGTTAGAAAGTTTGCAGGAGCAGCTTCTTTTGAGATGAAAACTATCAGGCTCTTGGCTACTAACATAAACCAAAACCAGCTCCTCACCCAGAGGAGAGGCTAATATATCTTCCCTTTCAAGGAAGCTGTCAGTGGTAGCATAACGAATCCTTATTTACTTAGAAACTAATCATTGGGATCTCAGTCTGTACCCATAATTACAGCTCCTAAACAGCTCTTGCTCTGAATTTTGAGAAATAAGCTATGAGTCACCTGTGAGATCTTGTGCTTAGGCAGTTTATTTCACCATCAGCTCACTCTGAGATTTTAGTGTTTTGAGAAGAAACATTTCACTCCTGACATCAAAGCATTTGACCTCTGAACCTCTGGTGCCAAGAATCTCCCAGGGAAGTCCTGTAGTCTGGGAGCAAAGTCTTTGAGCTGCAATTCTTTTTCTCAGAAATACTCATCAGGCTGTATTCTCCTCACAGAAGAGAGGGAAGCTACCTGGGGATGTTTGGCAATGTTTTCCATGCCTTATTCTCAATAAATAATCTGAGCACACAGTCAGCCCGTGGCATCAGAGGAATCTGGCAGGAGTTCCCCAGGAAGAACAGGCAAGCAGGGCGGTGAGACTTTGCCAGTGCAAAGAGCCCACGGGAGCAGGGATATCTGTACAAACACAGAAATATGTGCTGGGGCCCTTTATATCTGTGCTGCCTCTTCTAAATAGAGCAAGAGAAGTGCTTTCCTTAGAGTCAGAGGCTTTATGGACTCTTTATCTAGCCAGATGCCAGTGGAGCAGAGGCCCTGATTTGTTTTACAGGTTCTGTATCCCATGACTCCTCTGTTGTTAGTCCTCAGTTCCTCCAGACTATTCCACAACTTTAATCCAGGGATTTTTCCAGTCAGTGGAGCTACTTAAACTCCAAAGATAACCCAAGACCACTAAGTATTGCCTAGAATGTCTCCAGGGATGTGACATCCACAACTTCTCTGTGCCAGGACTCACCACACTCATAGTAAAAAATAAGGAGCCAAACCCTCCAGTTCACACTGTCTGGGTGTTCATTATATTATTTTATTATAAAATAAATATTTTATATAATATAAATCTTGGAAACAAGAGAGCTCTTTAGCAACCATTTCACAGCCAGAGATTGCGACTGGGACGTAATCTACATGAGCAAAGCTTACAAATCCTGCTTCCTGTAGGATTTCCTAGGCATGGAAACAAGCACACACAACAAATCAGGGCATTTTCTAGAACACACCATTTTTCAATTACCCCATTTTCTTCCCCCACCTCTAGCAGTGCTCATATGAAGTTTCATCAGCCACTATCTCATATTTTGGATAATTCCCTTCCCTTGAGGAAAGTGCAGAGCCCCTCCAAGAAGAATGTCTGCATGAGTTACTGGGCTCAGCCTACTGGACCCACACAGCTCCTCCAGGCAGATGAACAGGAAATCCACTTTCTTTCAGTGCTTACAGCAGAAGGGCTTTGTCTGCCTGGATGAAACAACCTCAGGCTCTTGCCTTTCAGGCTGTATTTGTGAGTTATGATGGGGCAGCTCCCCTCAGCTCTGGCTCCAGGTGTTGGCTCCCCATCCCCACACACAACGGCACATTGTGCTAGTTCTGCGTGCAGGAAGGATTTCCATCCAGCACCAGACTCTCACACCGCTGTTCCCTCCCTCCCTCTACACCACCATTGTTATTTTTATTCTTTCCAATAACTCTTAGACAGGGATAAGCTCCCAGGCTTGGCTGGAAGCTCCTCTGGGAGCAGATTGCAGCAGAGATAATGGCAGTGAGTAACAGAGAGCGTGGTGACTTCATACCGTGGAGCTTTCAGTCGTGTTTCTCTTTCCTTATTAAAGAAAAAAACATTTTTTCAAGCCTCCCTCAGTCACACTTTGGAGCAGGAAACAGACCCATGAATTGACATGCTTTCTTACAGCCTTACATTTTCAGTGCATTGAAAGTTTATGATGACCCACACTCATGCCCAAGGTTAATTTGTCACCCAAATGCCACGTGTGCAGTATTCCCCACACCCAGGAATGGATCACCAGGTGAGTGTTAGCCCAGCAATGCCACAGTTAAGTTGATGATTGTAAAATCCAAGAAAAGGGATTGTTTCTTCCTTTCAATACTCACAACAAACATCTTAATAGTTTTATACTTCCATCTACTTTTATATTCTACATTTATATATTTTATATAAATATTTTATATATTTACATATATTATATATTTATATATTTTATCTATTTTAATATAAAAATATTTTTATATTTCATCTATATTTCTATTTCTATAATTTGTATATTCTAGATATTTTATATGTTTTATATATAAATATTATATAGAATATTTTGCATAATATATTATAATAGAAAATATTTTATATCATATAAATATAGTCTTTCTTATTTTCTCATCTATATTTTTATCTTTCTATGCTTTTTTGTATATCTACATTCAACACTTTCCATTCTCTGTTTCTTTCATGAGAGATGACCAGAAAAAAAAAAAAATCTATCAGATCTAATTTAATTGCTCCATGCACATTTCTTAGCTGAGGAGGACAGACCCCTGGTCCCAGTGTCAGGGAATCTTATAGAAGTATAACTCTCCATAATAATTATCCACAATTTCTGCCTGAAGTTAATTGAAAAGGACATTCTAGGGAAAAGTGTAGCTCAAGAAGCCAATCTTCACTCAAGGATACAAAAATCCAATACTCTGTTTTCTGATTATACCTAAAAATGGCACAAAGTATAAAAGTCCTGGCAGCATGGACTTGTGTCAGGCTACTTGCTGTCTTCAAGTTGCCTGTATTTAGCTGGATTGAGTTATAAACTTCTTTAAAGCATCCCAATAAAAAACAAATCTATTTAAAAAAAGGATAAAACAATGAGGTGAGAAACT